TTCTAACCTCTCTGACTTTCCTGCATCCATTGTTCACAAATGAGGATATCGGAGGCTACATTAGAGGCTGCCGGATATACAGGACAGTCTCTCCATCTCATGGTCCTTAGCCAAATTGCCACTGAAAGTCCCTTTCACCATGCAAGGTGACATATTCATAGGTTATGGGGCTAGGATGTGCATATTTGGGGATCATCATTCTACTACCAATTGCTAAGAGACAGAACTGCGGTTTGAATCCCAGCTGATGCCTTGACCATTATACAAGGCAATAAAGCCTTGGTGTTCAATATATCCTTTGCCCCTTTTTGGAATGAAGGGAGGCTGAGAAGTCTGGACCCCAGATCTGGGTTTTGTATGTGGCACTAAACAGGACAGTTCACCCCCTTCTGCCCTGCTTGTCTGTCATACAAAATGCCAAAAGATCGCAGTTAACTTTAAAAAACATTTTGTCCTAGCTGGGCTCGGTGGCTCAGCCTGTCATCCCGCGCCTTTGGGAGGCTGAGGTGAGTGGATTGTCTGAGCCCACGGGTTCGAGACCCGCCTGGGTAACTTGGCGAGACCTCATCTCCACAATAAATCAAAAAATTAGCCTGGCGTGGTAGCGTGCGCCTGTCGTTCCAGCTACTCGGAAGGCTGAGGCAGAAGGATCGCTGGAGCCCAGCAGGTCCAGGCTGCGGTGGCCGGGAGCGGCCGCTGCAATCCAGTCTGGGCGACAGAGTGAGACTCCAACTCAAAAAAAACAACAAAAATAAAATAAAATAAAATAAAAAATATTTTGTCTTATCAAGTTACATGTTAGGCTGGGTTCAGTAGCTCAGCCTGTCATCCCAGCACTTTGGGAGGCCGAGGTGAGTGGATTGCCTGAGCCTGTGGGTTCAAGACCCGCCTGGGCAACTTGGCAAGACCTCATCTCTACAATAAATTAAAAAATCAGCCGGGTGTGGTAGCGCGTGCCTATAGTTCCGGCTACTTGGAAGGCTGAGGCGGAAGGATCGCCGGAGCCCAGCAAGTTGGCACTGGGGTGGCCGTGAGCATGCCCCTGCACTCCAGCCTGGGTGAAGGAGTGAGACTCCAACTCAAAAAAAAAAGGTACATTTTAACATAATCCGCCTCACTTCATCCCCAAATATACAACTGACTCTTAGGAAACCACAGCCACGTGATAAAAATAGGTTGCAACGCAACAATGAGAGCCCTCTTGGGGACAGGCCATGCCACGTGTCTCTCAGCATACAAAGTGTCCACGGAGTGCAGAGCACTGGCCTGGGCAGGTCTGGGGCTGGGTTCTCCCACAGTAAGAGGAGCCCTTTGACACCGGAGAGGCAGCAGGGCAGGGTGGGGTGACCTGGCTCAGGGAGCTCTAGTGACAGAGGTGACCAGGGAGGGGAGGCCCCCCAGGCCACAACTGACGGAAGCTTCACGAGCCTTCCCAGCCAGGCGGCAGAACAAGCCGATCCATGAGGAGCCCAAGGACAGGCCATGCAGGGTCGTGTGTCAGCCACGGGTGTCCCCGTCCACCTATGGCAGGAGGTGGTGATGGCAGGCCTCCAAGTCAGGCCGGCGGCCTGCGAGGATGCCACACACCCAGGACTGGAGAAACCCCAGAGGTAGTTTGTAGGCCCAGCAATGAGCCAGCTCAGAACAGAGTCTCCACGCACGAGAAAAGGCAAGCAGAGAAGGCACCGTCTTACTTGGGGACAAAAAAGGTGGGGATGCGGGGAGTCCAGGAGCTGGAGAAGAACCGTCATTTGGCGGAAGATGGCATGCTCACAGCTTGGCAAACCCGGGCTCCAAAATCTGTGTCTGCTGAGCTATGCCCAGACCTTTGAGAGGCACAAGACAAACATCCCTCCACCCATTCTGGGAGATGCAGGAGCCTCCAGGGCTGACGGTACCTGAAAGTCTTTATTTCTCCAGGGGAGGCACAGTCCTGAGCAAGCTCCTAGATAGCAGAACCTGTCACAGGCACAAGTTCTAGGGACAGGAGTACTTAGCTGGCACCCAGTTGCATTATTTTCATTCTTTCTTTAATGTGCACACCACAGAGTCAGACATCAAATGTGAATATGCACATGGGCGATGTGTTTTTGAGGCACAGCAATAAGAATAAAGTCGGCCGGGCTCAGTGGCTTAGCCTGTCATCCCAGCACTTTGGGAGGCCGAGGCGCGTGCATTGTCTGAGTCCATGGGTTCGAGACCAGCCCAGGCAACTTGGCGAGACCTCGTCTCTACAATAAATCAAAACAAAAAAAAATTAGCCAGTCACGGCCGCACACACCTTTAGTTCCGGCTACTTGGATGGCTGAGGCAGAAGGATCACCGGTGCCCAGCAGGTTGATGCTGGGATGGCTGTGAGTGTGCCACTGCACTCCAGCCTGGGCGACAGAGTGAGACTCCAACTCAAAATAAATAAATAAATAACTATGTCAGGTCCACAAGTGTGACTGGCAGGTCCTCGGGGCCCTGCTGGAGTGGGGTCCCATTTCTGGGCCCAAAGCCTCCTATGCAGACACCCGAGCCCTGGCAGAGCCACCTTAGCTGTGAATAGACTGGTTTGGAGGAATTATTCAGTCCCCATAGGCTCGCCTGCAACCTTAAACACTTTAATTCCCTTCACGGGAAAGTCAAGAAATGCTGAAGTCAAGTGTCGTCTAAGATCACTGATGTGACTCTTATCCAGGCCTCCATTTGAAAGTCACGGATTACCGTGTTTCCAACAGATCACTGACATTTAAGAGTTTCGCCCCCAGCCCAGCTCGATTTTCTTTTGTGACATGGTTCTAAATCGGGAGGCTTTTCCTCTCTGCTGACCACTCCATGAATTCATGAGAAATTCTCCCTTGTCTGGGTTTCACTGAAACAAAAGTTGTTCAAAAGCTGGTCAGATATGGAGTCAGCTTAGTGGATTGAGACCAGCATATTTTAAACAATACAATGAAATTGACTGGAATAGAAAAAAATAGAATTAAAAGGAACAGAGTGCTTTTCGTGTAATAAGAAATCCTTTCCAGAATTCTTTCATAGCGGTCTATTTTTCCAGCACTGCATGCGGGGGTGTTTGAAATGGCTGTGATGTAAAAATGCACTTCCTGGGGGGGGGGTGGCCACCGGAGTGTGCAGTCTCCTACTGTAAACCATATTTACAGGTTTCCTTTTCCTTTCCCTGGGTTCTTACAGCTCTAGGGCAGCCCACTTACTCCTACGTGCTCCTGCCGGGCACCCTCCTTTCTCTCTGCACATGGTTTAGTTTAACCCTTAGGATAGAGCCAAGGAGATGCCTTTCTACGTGATCACTCGCATCCATGTGAGACTTAATTGTAAAAGGAAAACAAAAGGAACCCAAAGCCCTGCACCCGTCACCAAAGACGGGCAGGACCAGGGAGCAGAGACCTGAAGCGGCAATCACGCAGCCTTCTGGCAGCCCTGCACCCAGCACTTTGCGCCGTGTGGAAGTGCCACGTGTCTGTGAGCCTGTGTTCTCCTGGGCCCCCCTCTGTGCCACAGAATCAGTGGGAAATATCCCCGCCTGAGGACCTGTCCCCCACCCACATTGTTTTGGGGTCTCTGCAGCGACCAGGGGGCTGCCAGCCTTCTCCTGTCATTTGGCAGAAGGTGGACTCTGGGGAGGGAGCTCCCGCATCAAAGGCTGCCTTTCGTGATTTCAGAACTGCTGGCTCAGAGGAGGAAGGAGAGTGGACTTCGGTACAGAGTAGAAGGGAGCAACGGAAGCAGGAGGTCTGGAAGGAGAGAGAAAGCAAACTGCAAAGGTAACCCCCACCCTCACCCCCGCAAAGGTATTTTAATAGACACGCTGTTTCCGTTCCTTTCCATGTGTTTTTCATTCTGTTTTTGGCTACTTTTGACTTGAATTATGGGGCTTGGTTAAAATAAGTTAGACACAATTACTTCTCTACATCAAAAATGAATACTGACTTTTTCCTGGTGGGGGGAGAGGTGATGGCGAGTGGCTAAGACAGAAGGCACATTGCCTTTCAGAAAACTGCACGATTGTTTTCTTCCTTCTTCCTGATGGCAGCGGAAAAACATGTCTTTCCAAGAGCCCAGAGCACTTTGACAAAGGCCAACGGTAAAACCCGGCATCCACTACAGAAAGACAGCCCCCAAGATACATGGTGAGGCCATTATAGGGCCAAAGAGGAAGCAGACACCTTTTAACCCGAAGGGCGAGACATAAAGATAAACATTCTTCCTCCTCCAAAAATGTGATTCTTCAATGACGGCAGCCCAGAGAACAAAAGCAAGCATTGTCCACTGAATAGCTAAAAATAAAACTAGGAGTATAAATATGCTTCTGGTATTGTCAGAAGTTTCATTGAGGTCTCAGTCAAGCAGAGTACTTCCTCTCTTTGTACCTCAATCTCTATACTCCTCTTAAATGCAGATAATTATACTAGTAGAGGCCTATTGTTAGAGTTTATGAAATAGACCTGAAATCTTCAAGTGGCTTCCAGATAACTGAGAGTCTAACTGCAATTTCCGATCATTCTAAAAGGTGCTCTTTGCCCTTGTTGGAGATATTATGCCTGTGGACTTGTCCTAACATCTGGGTTTCACCGACAGCCACTATGCCATGCTAAAATCCAGAAGAACCTTCATTCCTCTGGAGGCAAAGAGCTGCCCCAGGGACCTGGCACTTGATGCCATTGCCTGAGTCGAACCCAATGCAAACACCCTCAACTCACAGCTACGAGAAAACTCTGATGGTTTCCCGTGTTATCTGAGCTGCAGGAAAGGCTGGAAAGAAAGGTAGTGTTCCGACGTTATTGACTGAAGCCTTTCCCTGGTTCCTAGTTATCTGAGACACACAGTGTCTATTGAGTGAAATAGCAGAAAGAAAGACAGTATTTCCGCAATGATCTGGGTATCATAGCCAATGCAACTCATAGTATAACTGAACCAGGCACTCATTTTCTCTATCAATCAGTCAATTAGTAAAATAAAGAGGACACAAAAATCAACCTACAGATGCAATTGGGTGGCAGTATTCAATTGCAGGCAGCATTTAATTTTGATTTCTTTCACTGGAGTATTTTGCTGCCAAAGACAAGTCACATCTGCCAGAACCATAACAACAAAAAATTGGCAGAAAATTGATTTGCATCTTCCTGATGTCTCCAAGGGTCTTGTGGTTTGGTTTGTAGATCATGTCTCATCTAGAGCTATCATCCTGTAATAAAAAAAGTAAATTAAGCCAAAAGGAAACTATAAATCAAAAAGAAAATATTTGTCTCCTACGTGACCCATTGTTCCCCTCACAATTTTGCTTCCTCGGTAGCTTTGCCTTATCTGGGAGGCACCCACGGTCCGTCCACACGGAGACTGCAGCCTAAAAGAACAAAAGCAAGTGTTGTCCACTGAACAGCTAAAAATAAAGTTAGGAGCACAAATATGTTCCTGATATTGTCAGAAGTTCTATTGAGGTCTCAGTCTTCCTCTCTTTGTACCTCCATTTCTACTCCCCTAAGACGCAGATAATTATACTAGTAAAATTATACCAGAAAAGTGCACGTCCCCATGAGCACGACATTCATCTCTACACCCACCCTGCCCCCAACTTGGGAAAGTCAGGAATGGGCTTCCGTTCACAGGGAGTAGGACTCTTTGCCGTTCTCACCAAGAAGAGCACCAGCATTTTGAAAACCCAAAGTGAAAAAGCAAACAGGTTACAAACATGAGCAAACCCACACCTCTTTAAGCCAAAAAGCTGTTTCTGGCTGTGAGTTTTCTTTTCGGATCCTCAGCACGGCCCAGACTACTGCTGGGCAAGCATCACAACGGAGGACCCGTGTGTGTGCAGGGAAGGGTTGCCTCCGTTGGGATTCGCCCCTGGGAGGACTCCTGTGGGCTAATTTACCAAGGTACCAACTACAGAACCCCAAGAGGGGCAAAAAGCTGTGGGAACAAGACTTACTTCTGAACTCTGATGTGAATATAAAAATAGCATGGTGCAGAACAGAACTATCTTTTCTATTGAACCAAAGAAGCAAATCTGGACAACTAAACCCTGGAATGTTGAGTCCCTGATGGCACAGAACCTGGGCTCTGTGTCTTCCAGATCATGGAAATGCTTTGATTTCACAGTCACGATAGCAATGTCATGAGGCAAGGATAAATGTGTCTTTTGCTCAGGAGAAGCAAGCTTGTTTTCTTAGCTCAGATGCTGGGCTTCCTGTAGAGAAGTTGTGAATACTCTACCCAGTTCCCTCTATCCAGTGACTAGGCTTTGGGTTGCTGGCCTTTGAACCCTGGCCTGCCAACCTCAAGCAGAGCAGAACATCACCACAATCCCCTAGCACCAAATCAAACTTATGAGGACTCTGTCCCAGGCACGTGGAACTGGCCATCCTTCCAAGCCAGTGACAAGTTGGGAACTTGCTTTCCCCCCTTTATAAACTTGCTTATCAAGGGAGGCCCAGACCACATGGAGTCTGACCATAATCTACATTTCTCTCATGAGTCTGGCAGAGAATAATACAGAGACACAGGGACACTGGGCTACCCTGGGCTCTGGGACCCTACTCTCATAGGTGGCTCAGTGGCCCTGGGAGACATATCTTCTCTCGTTCTCCTAACCCTTACCCCACTGGTTCTTCCTTAACCATTCCTCTCTCTCCCCCACATCCATTTGACTTCCTCATATTGCTATTAGTTATGAGTAATTTGCTCCTATTAGTAAAGCTGTTATGGATTGTATGTGTCCTCTGCCTCCAAACTCCTATGCTGAAGTGCTAACTACCAGTAACTCAGAATTTGGCCTTATTTGGAAATAAGGTTGTTACAGAAATAATTAGTTAAGATGAGGTCATTAGAGTGAGTTCCCAATCCAGTATGATTGGATTCCTTATAAAAAGGAATATTTGGACAGATACACACACAGGGAGACACCATGTCAACATAAAGACAGAGATCAAGGTGATGAGTCTACAAGCCAAGGAATGCCAAAGACTGCCAGCAAACCACCAGAAGCTAGGAGAGAGCCCTGAAGTAGATCCTTTCTCACAGCCTTCAGAAAGGATCAGCCTGCTGACATATTGATCTTGGACTTCTAGCCTTCAAAACAGTGATACAGTACATGTCTGTTGTTTAAGCCCCCTACTCTGTGGTGCTTTGTCATGGCAGTCCTAGAAAACTAACACAAGGGACACAGGGTGGCTTATCTTTCAGCAGATGGGGAATTGAATCCAAGCAGTCAATTATCCTCTTGACACCTTAGCCAGCCAGGAACGGTGGCTCACACCTATCATCCCAGCACTTTGGGAGGCAGAGGGGAGGATTGCCTGAGCCTGCAGGTTTGAGACCAGCCTGGGCAACATGATGAGCCCTCATCCTTACAATAAATCAAAAAACTAGCCTGGCACGGTAGCACACACCTGTAGTTTCAACGACTTGGAAGGCTGAAGCAGAAGGATGGACTGAGCCCAGAAGGTCAAGGCTGTGGTGGCCGTGAGTGACTACTGCACTCAAGCCTGGGTGACAGACTGAGACTCTAACTCAAAAAAACACCTTAGCTGTGAATCCCCTACCACCCCCACTAGACACTCCCTTCTTGTTACTCTGTGTCTGGTAATACTGGACTATGTGGCATAGCAGAGGCAAATAAGACTTTTTCTTCTACCCTCTTTTGTTCTGTAACTTGGGCATGCAAATAAGACTGATAAAAGATTATTAGGAGAAAAGGCATACAAATCGTATTTGATGCTAAGATTTTAATTTTTATGTGATGAGACCTTTGGAGAAAAGAAGTGAAAACCAAAGAGGCAGAACCAAGGGTTTATATACTATTTTAACAAAGAGTGATAAATTTTCAGAGATATGACAAGACAAAGAAAAAGGGGTTTGGGCTTCTAGGAGTGATAAATTAGGGGAGGGTCAATATATGGGGCAACCAATAGATGGTAAGGGCTACTTTATTAAGGTTTGTTTGTGCAGACCCATCTTGGTGCTGACTTTCAGTCTCCAGTAATAAGAGTTGTTAGCCTTCTGGTACAAGAAAGAAAAGAGGGAACACCTTTGCAAAGGGAAATGTATGTCTTGCTTTTAGGCAGATGGGGTAAGGGTGGCTAAAAAGCTCTTTTGTCACTTCTTAATTGCTTTCAGCTCAAAAGTAATCCTTTTTTATCAAGGTGGTATATTTGGGAGCAGCACTTTTTGATCTCTTTCAGTGGCCTTCTACAGATCTGTATGTCTGCCTTTCTGAAGTATGAGTCCAGGAAAACCTACTTTGCGGATCAATATATACTAATACTAAATATGGAATTATGGAATAAAACACCCATACACAAATACTACACTGGTAACTACACAGTAATCCCCCCTTATCAATGGAGGATACATTCCAATACCCTCTGGGGTGTCTGAAACCGTGGATAGTACTGAACCCTATACAAACTATATTTTCTCCTATACATACATAACTATTGTCCATTTTAACTTACAAATTAGGCACAGTTAGAGATTAACAATAACTAATAATAAAATAGCATAAATACAATAATATGCAGTAATAAAAGTTATGTGACTGTGGTCTCACTCTCTCAAAATATCTAATTTACTCTACTTACATATTTTTGAATCTCTGTTTACTGTGCATGACTAAAACCACAGAAAGAGAAACCATAGATAAGAGGGCAATACTGTATGTATACACGTACTTTATAGAGAGAAAAATCTTTTTTTTTATATTGGAAAATATAGTTTATTTAGAAAGTACATTAGAGAGAGGAGAGGAGATATAAGAGAGAGAGAAAGGAGATTCATCTACCCAAGGTAGGGGAGGTGGCTAAAGTTTAGGAAAAAATGGCCTGGCCATAACTCAAAAAACACATGGCCAGATGTAGTTTAACATTTTTGTTGTATCCACAAAAATGTGAAGTGCAAAACTCAGTCTGTTCACTGAATCATCTCAACTAAAATATCTGGATAAGTAATAGTACCTGGTTTTATAAACCAAATTTTCATGATACTTGCAACTCTGACCTACTCATCAGAGTAGAGTGCTTTTTTGTTTTTTGTTGGTGTTGTTTAAACCCATGGGTCTTAATGACTCCTATTCTTCTTTTTTTTTGAGTTGGAGTCTCACTCTGTCACCCAGGCTGGAGTGCAGTGGCACACTTATGGCCACCCCTGAGTCTACCTGCTAGGCTCCGGTGATCCTTCCACCTCAACCTTCTAAGTAGCTGGAACGACAAGTGTGCACTACCATGCCTGGCTAATTTTTCATTTATTGTAGAGACGAGGTCTTGCCAAGTTGCCCGGACTGGGCCACAAGAGTGAGAATCCAAGGCAAAAAGAAAAAACAAACAAACAAACAGTGGAAGATCTACTTAATCTGACCAGGAAAAAAAAAAATCAGACTTCGTGCTTCTGGTTCTTGGAATAGTTTCTGTCCATTTTTGTTGGGAGGGGGAATTGACAGGTAAGAGAGATGGAGTGAGGCTGTGCCTTTGCCTTGTGGTCGTTTATTTCTTAGGCTGGTAGAGAAGGAGAAACTCTAAGGGTGATTCATGAGTACTCAGAAAATGATGACAAGTCATTAAGATGTGCTTGGGTGGCCACCTGAGAGGAGGCAAATAGCCGGGAAACGGAGCGGGTTCTCCTGGCCTGAATTTTGTCGACCGACACCATTACTTGAGCACATGATTTGAGCTCTCTGGGTCTCAATTTCCTTATCTGTGTAATTTATCTGTGTCTTCCTTTATCCCCCCATCAGATTTCTGACGCCACCTCAACGGCCATTGGCCTTCAACCTTCTGAAACTGGGCTCTATCCCTACCACTCCATTGAAATGAATTTCAGGAGTCACAAGTCACCGACCAAGCTGTCCCATTCAGTGGACCCTTAGCAGCCTCTGCCAGAACTCCCTGAAAATGTTAGTCCCTGGCCTCACGGCCCTCCGCCCTGGCAGCTGCTCATCCTTCCTCGA